TGTGTGTTTCCTTAGGTGATAGGCGTAGTGGACACAGAGGAAAGAGGCGAACTGGTGCGCGAAAGAGGGGCTTTCACTACAGTCCATTTCAGTCCGAAGTTAGTCAAGGAGATTTTGAAGAAAACAGAAAACAAAGGAGCCAATGTGGTTTATGACGCAGCGGGTGAGCCGATGATGGAACATATTGGTGGATGGTAAGTCAGTCGATTACTATTTTAGTCAAATTGCTAGAAAATGGTATTTTCAGTGCCGCCGTGGGGGGCAAAACGTTCTACGCCTCTCCGTTCTTTCACAAGACGATACCAGCCCCGGTGCCGCACACGTTTTCCACCATAGTGAGCTTGAAGGCGCTCAGAGCGCAGAACAGGCATTTGTACAAAACGGTGGTCAATGACACTCTAGAACTGGCCAACGAGAGCTTGATTGCGGCCCATATTAGCGCCGAATTCAGCCTGGAGAAGATCAACGACGCCCTGCAGTTTATAGAAGACAGAAAATGTACTGGGAAGGTCCTGATCAAAGTAGATGAATAAACTAAATTAGGTACTGATTATCCTACTAGTTTAATGTCTCTGGTTTATCACATATTCCTACAACGAACCTAGTGTCTATTTACACAGAAAATTACAGGTACAAGTTTATAGTCTAGTTACAGTTTGCTAACGTTTAGCTCTTATCGGTGATGCTGCAGGAGTCCAAAAAAATTCCTCGGCCATTGTTGGCGATATCCGCATAGTCCTTTTTGCCTTTGGAGCACAGTTTGTTCGAGTATTTGGCATCTCGTTTCCTGAAAGTTGTGTGAGTTAAAGAGGGTTTTGAACGCGTATCGCCACTAACCCTCTGCCAGGCAGCTCTAGTTGATCCACATTGATGCTCCGAACGTACAAGTGATCGTTGCACCAAAACAAGCACAGAGTCTTCGGTTCCAGCACGTTCATGTCGTAGATCCAGTTCAGTTCCACTTTGCGAATATTTCCGGCTAAAGCAAAATGAATCAGTGGCGGTTTTTTCGTTCATTGGCGTAAAAAACTCACCTAAATCTACCGGGTGCGCCACCACAGTGGTATAAGTAGTGCCGTGCGCCAGCTTAGTTTCAGCAGGCGTTAAATCAGCTCGAATCACCCCGTTTGGGCTGTACATGGAGGCCTTTAATCTGCCTTGGACCCAATCTTCTGCGTAGCCCGGCTTGGCCAAGTCCACGCTCACTCTATAGACTTGCTCTAATTTTCCCGGTTACTTTTCTCATTGATTTTCGCAGGCATTTACTTACGGCAGAATGGATAGTCGCGGCCAGTAGTCAAGAAGTACTTGTTCCCGACGGCTTCGTCCAGCTTTGCTTGCGGTTGCACTTCGTTTTCCAGAAAGCCCAACGAAGTGTCCGCCTTGTACCCCATTACGGCACACGACATGCCGCTTTTGCAGCCGAAACACTTTCCAGACATAAACTGTTTGAAACTGGAACATTGTCTACCTGAAACCCAATTGTTTAATTGGCAAATTCTCGCTATGTCTGCATGTCTGGGTCTAACCCAGTTAGCACAAAATATTACATACATATTTAGGAAATATTTCAGATCGGGCAAAAAGACCGATTGGGTCGATAGCCTTTTTCTGTAGGAAATAAAGATTATTTATATATATATATTTCAGATCAAAAGCAAGTATTTCTTAAATATTATTTTTTAAATATTTGTTTCTAATATTTAATTAGCATGAAACAAATAAGTTATTAATAA